GACAAAGGAAAACAATATATAATCTACCTAGTGAGCTTGAGTAAATGGATAGCAGAACAAGGTTTAGGAGAAATAACAAAAAGACAAAATTCATTAAGAGCTGCAAAGGACAAGAAATTGTGGAGAGCCAGAAGAATGAAATGAATGGATAGCAGACCATGATTTAGGAGAGATAAAAAAAAGACAAAATTTATTAAGATCTACAAAGGACAGGAGATTGTGGAGAGCCATGATTGCCAACACCCTGAAGGGACATGGCACAAAGAAGAAGAAGAATGAACTTATTTAAATGGATGGCAGAATATGGTTTAGGAGAGACAAAAAAAAACAAAAATTCATTAAGAACTACAAAGGACAGGAAATTGTGGAGAGCCATGATTGCTGACATCATTTAGGGGAATGACATAGAAGAAGATTTACTATATTCTTTAGATATACATGCTATATTTTCCCCACCATAACATTTTTTTTATTTATTTCATTTTCCTATTTCAAATCACCATATTTACATTATATATATATATATATATATATATATATATATATATATATATATATATATATATAATATTTAATTTTTTTATGGATATATTTTTTTATAAATATTTTTGATAAAGCAAAAGAAACATTTTGAATTTTTAATCAGAATTGAGGGATGAAGGAAAAGGTTTCAGAAAATGTCATTAACCAAATCTTAATATTTCACATGAGAAAAATCATTGGCAATAAAATTTTCACATACCTACAGAGAACTTCAATTTTAAGTTTGAATAACTGCAAAGAATAATCACTGTAATAACAACCAATAGTTATGTATTTGAGTAGTAATCTCTATCTAATACATACTCTTTGTGAATACGCAAAACAATATCAACTTTGAACATGGCCATAATGTACTGGCTGTATTCGGGAATTAAAAATATGTCTGACTCCTAACAGCTTACACACCATCTGCAATAGCATAACCCAAATCAATGTAAAGGACCAATATATTAGTTGAAAGTGTTTAAAATAATCATTTCAATAATTTCTAAGTACATTAAATTCAAAACATAAATCTTTCTTTACACACTCTAAAACTTTATCATTGCTCACATGTTCAATCTATGGTACATGTACATTATGCTGAGCTGCACTCTTGGTGAAATACATTTTAACTGAATGTACTCACTTAGCCCTCATAAGATATAAATGCTACAAGGCAAGCAACATAAGAAAACTATTTGGAAATTGTAGCAGATTGGTATATAGGAATGCAACTATTTGTGTATGTTAAGTAGAAGTGATATAAAGTGTATAGTAAACTAAGAAACAAACAAGTTGACTACTGATCACATGTCACAGAACAACACGATACAATAAAAATAATGAAACCATCAACATAATGTCCTACCTTAAAGAAATAACATATAACACCTACAATAGACCATCTACATGCAATATATCTATAAAACATATGTTTGCCTTGAAAGTATAAAATTATGTACAAAATATATGTAGTTGAAGCCATAAAATTGTATACAAAATATTTAGATTTCGGCATTAAATAACCCATAGAGGTTGATATGCTGCTAAACAAAATCAACAAAACCTTGTTTTTATACACAAACACAGATAACAAAAACACATTCATTATCAACAGAACATTGTGTGCTATGAATTAGCAAGTAGCTTGTCTAAGAAGATAGAAATACCATTGAATGTATCAATAACCTGTTTGTAGATGAAATAAAAAGGAAAAATAAAGAAGAATTTTTTTCTTCTTTTCAATTTTCACTTTCATTTGTCCCTTCCATTTCATTTGTAAATTGTCAACAATCATTTTCTCTTAACGTCAGTAAACGGGAATGATTACCAGAAATCATTTTCTCTTAATGTCAGCAAACGGGAATCATTACCAGAAATTATTTGTTCTTAATGTCAGGAAAGTGATTGATTCTATTATTCCTGTTCTTAAATAGCAATCGGAAAGACACAAACTGTCTGATCTTCTCATTTGTTCCTTGTTCAGGTTAAATAATAATCCTCACATAGCGCTTGAAGCGACTTGCCTCATTTAGGGACCAAATTCAGCTAAAAAAATATATACTTACTTCAGGTTGTATAAAGTAGGGGTTTGTTTGTTTTTTTCTTATTTTTTTTCTTTTTTGTTCTATGCAGAAATAGAAAGAAAGAGGATCATAGATAAGGGCAGATATTGTATAAAAAGAATAAGAAAGTGAAGAAGAAAAATGACAAACTCATTGGCATAAAATCAAGATGGATTAATGCTAATAATAGTGAAAGAAAAAAAACACTTCAGAGATGGAATAAATACATTGGAGAACTATTCCACAATTAAAGAGGAAAACCCATAATACACAAAAACATGGAAGGACCAGAAATATTAAAGTTTGAAGTGAAATCAGCCAAGGGCCAAATTGAACAGAAACAAAACAGCAGGACCAGATGGAGTTGTAATAGAGATGCTGGCTGCTTTATGTGATTTTAGCATTGACAGAATTACAGACATAATAAATAAAATATACTGCCACTTCTAATTCAACAGTTTCTTTTCTCACACTTTTCAACAATGAAATTCCCTTCCTTTTACTTGCTTCCCTGATAACTACAATTTTCAAAACTTTAAATGGAATGTCAATTGTCATCTTCTGTTGCCTTGATCTCCATTCATCTTTTATTCTTTCTCCAATCCACCCCCCATACCCAGTCTTTTCTCTCACTTTCACTATCTATAACCCCCCTGTGTGCTAGTGGCACTCCTGTCTTGCTTTGGGTGAAATACTTAAAAAAAAAATGACATTGGTGATATATCAGAAGATATAAAAGAGATTTATTTTCATATCACTGCTTAAAAAGCCAGGTGCAGATAAATGCAAACTCTATTAGACAATCAGCCTCATGAGCCACATAACAAAACTTATCATCTGAATTGTGATGAATAGAGCCTGTAACAGAATCAGACTGGAAATAGGACAAGAACAGTAGAGTTTCATTAAAGACACTGGAACAAGAAATGCAATATTTACACTCAGAAAGATATCAGAAAGAGCAATACAAGTGCAAAAGGGTGTATACATATATTTTATAGATTATGCAAAAGTGTTCTTCTCAAAAAAACTATTTGGATGATTAAGTAAGCTTGCTTTATTTGGGAAGATATTAGAATAATCTAGAATCTATACTGGGAGTAAACTGACTGCATACAGATAGAAAATGAATTCAGTAAATAGACAAAAATAGAAAGAGGCATAAGACAAGGATGTATCTTCTCAACAAACTTATTCAAACATTACAATGAGATGATTCTGAGAGAATAAGAAGTCCTACCAAAATTTATTATTGGCAGCCACAATCTTAACAATATAAAACATACAAATGACATAGTGTTGACAACAGATGCAGAAAGAGAACTACAGGCATACTTACAGAAAGTAGTAAAGGAAAGAGAGAAGAAAGGACTAAACATTAATTGTAAGAAGAAAGAATGTATGGTTGTCAAAAGGAAACAAAAGGAACAGTCAAAGATGTGAACTTCGAATTGGCACTACCAAAAACAAGCAAGTACAAAAATTTAAATATATAGGAAGTATTTTAATAGAGATCAAAAAGTGTGATACTGAAATCCAAAGTTACATTGGAATAGTAAAAGGTGCCTTCCATGAACTAAGCAAAATATTAAGAAATAGAAAGATTCCATTGGAAACAAAGAAAAGAGTACTTAAGTGATACGTAATATTGATCCTCCTGCATGCCAGTGAATGCTTGACAATCTCCTCACAGATGAACAAGAAACTTGTGGTAATAGAAATGTGGTTCTACAGAAGGCTACTGAGAATACCATGGACTGAGAAAACTGAAATTTCTAAATCAAATAATGAGGAAAGAGGGCTTGATGAATTTGTCACTCACAGGACATATTGAAGGCAAGAGGGACAGAGGAAAGCACCAAATAACATACCACATGAACTTGTATAAATGGTTGGCAGAACAGGTATTAGGAGTGATAGCAAAAAGACAAACCTTATTAACCTATGCCTGGTCATAGTATTAAACACCAGAATCCATGTGAATATTTAACAGAAAAATGCTGGCCTCTATTTGGATGGATGCTACTTGAAAAGTATAACATTTCTAATAATGCAGATTAATTTTCTAATAATTACATATTTCTTTTAAATGCTGTGTAAATTTTATCTTTAACCATAAATTACAGGTCAATTAAATTTTATTTTACAGATCATGACATCTTTCAGAGAGATGTGATTAAATATACTTTGATGTTTATAAAAGAAATTATTCAGTATTATTATTGTTTAGGTAATAAGCATTATAACATAGCACAAATAGCTATATTGTGGAAAAAGGAATTTTCAATAATATAGATATTTTTTATGTATTTATGGTAATTTTTTTAACTTTTATCAAAAATGACATTCTTGTACATATAGTTATGGATAATATTATACATGAATTACTAATTTTTTTTAATTAATAACTATTTGTGCTCAGTTGTTGACATTAATAACTATCTGCTGATGTGTTAAAATTTTGGAATAATTCAATAATAAAAATTTAAATTTCATCGCTTTGATAGATATCCCAATCTGTTAATTTGGTTTACACTCAGTAGTGATATTGTATGTTTTTGATAATTTTCAATTTGTATTTTGTCTGAAATTGATTAATTAATAGAATATGTTCTTATAATTTGTCTGCTATAATTTGAATCTAATTTGTTTATTTTTTCCCAAATCCTAATTTATAAAGATTTTTAATTATTTACTTCACAAGACAACCTTTTCATATTTGGTTGTATTTACTTCACTTTGTAGAAACCAATTTTATAATTTTGCTTTTATGAAACCTAAGAACAATGTTTTAAATGTTTTTATCGGCTAAAAACACTCCAGTATGAACGACATTGTAAACATTTTATATATTAACCTTTTTAAAAAATTTATTTTCATGGTATCATATCATTCAAATATTCACAGGCTTATGGCCACATCACATTGAAACACCAGTTCCTATATGATCACTGAAGTTAAGCAACATTGAGCCTGGTCAGTACCTAGATGGGTGACTAATTGGGAGTACCAGGTGCTGTAAGCTCGGTATGTGCGGGTGGTGTAATGGATAATGGCTCGGAATTGCTAATTGGAGACCCGAGTTCTAATCGGGTTCATTATATTCACTTATGTGCAAATACACTTGGGGAAAGGTATGAATCCACCTCTTCTCTCTTCAGCTATGGGTTAATTTGTAAGACTTGCTTCACTAAACCATTAGTATCTCCAAAAAGGTTAAAATAAAATTAAAGAAATAAAAATAAAATTGAGCACAAATTATTGGTGTTAAATTACCCATAGAGGTGTTGATATGCTGTTAAAAAAAATTAAAACAACCAATCAAATATTCACCAAATTGTATAGTTATTTGATATTGGTTTTAATCTGCCAAAAAGATTAACATTATCAATATTTTTGATAATGTAAGATTCAAGCATTGATGTTTTTAAAAATACAAATACAAAGGAGATGCTCACTGTGTATCAAGCAGGTTCTGTTCATTTGTCATGGCTCTTGGTGGTGTAAGCAATGAAGACCATCTCATGCTGACCCCCTCCACATTTTACTGATAAGTTGTATGATCAATGTCATTGCCTACATTGAGGTGATAAACACTGGCTGTATGTTACAGTAGGCTTTACTCCATCACATGAGACTTTGAAATCTCACAATCATGATATCCACAATATGTGAGATCCTTGCTCTCATTCTTTGAATCAGCTGGATTATAAGATTTGGAAAGCAACCATCTGATTGACATGAGCAAGGACACATTGACGACTACCACTGTAGAGCAAATAGCCAAGATAATAAAAATAACCACTTGATTTACACGTTCAGTTGCTTCTGAAGTTGCATTTAAAGTCTTTTTTTTTTCTTTGCCAATTTCACTATTTCCTGACATGATAAAAACTGCAATTCAATTTCTTTTTAGTAAATCATTCCAAACACTGTCAACAGGAAATTAAATCCTCGAAAACACTAAAAATATTTGCTTCATTTCTTTATCTTTAAAAATATTTTCTCTCACTGTTTTCTCTCAACATTTTATTAACATAAATATGAATCTAAATTCCAAATTCTGCCATTACAGAGATTTTGTAGATTTTATAATAAAAAAGAATTTATAATAAATAAAAAAAAAATGATAATTACATTTCTTAAACTTTTCCCTTCACTGAAAATATATTTTTTTCTTTTTTTATTTCTCATAATCTAAGCCAATGTTTCTCAACTGGTGTGCCCAGGCACACTAACGAAAGGTAGCCAGGTGCACCCCTAGTTATTAATTATTTTTATATTTAAAAGAAATCTTTATTTTTAAAAAGCTAGTGACACCAAGCACGTCTTTCATGTCTAAGTCTTTGTTATTTGATATTGCAAACTGGATGCTAAATATCTTAATCTTCAAGAAGGAGTGGATAATCTTTTCCCTTTTGCTTTTGTTATAGACAAGCGTATGGTTGCAAGAAAGAAATACGACAACAGCAGAAATAGATTTACGTGATTTATTTCAACAGGAACGTGTGGGTTTGGGACAGCTACCTTGTGGTAAAGTTCATAAGCCGGCTTCGAATCTGGGTTAATCTCTCATAGTAGTTCACACTGGTTGGCGCTGGTGCTTCCCATGCTGACTGCTGCTGACCGCTCAGCCTGACCGTGACAGGTCTCTTCCCTGGCCTCCTGTTGACTGCCGTTGTACTTCCGTGTGACCCCTTTTATGGCGTTTTTTTATAGCTTAACAGGCTCAAGAAACGACACAAGTATAATTAGGAGGGAAGCATTTTTAATAGTCGAAAAATAGAAACACTTTAAAATATTATCTTATTTTTCGACCGGAACTCATGCATCGAGAACAAGCGTAAACAAAGATAATGGTCATTTTGTGATGGGGCCTTGTCCCATTCACATCCGGCTCTCGATCTTGAGTATGTTAGTTTATTAGCCTGTAAATCAGCCGAGATATGTCTTATTTTATTTTATAACACTTTCCTCAAGGAATTTAAATCAGTCATTAGTAGCCTCTCTAAAACTAAAAATAGCAGATTCTTCATAAATCCCTTTAAATGAAAACTTTACAACTTAAATATATGATGTCATGTCTTAAAAATAAATGCTTATTTCATGAGACTTTTTTATTATTTTCTTATTTTATGACTAATTTTTTTGTTATTAAAATTTAAAGTTCACCCCAGAGTTTTAGTTATTCTACAAGTGCATGACCCTGAAGTTAAAAATGGTTGAGAAACACTGATCTAGACACATGACTGACAATATTTACTTGAATGTAACTGAAAAAAACGTTTCAATTTCATATATTTTCCTACAAATAATTAAATACTGTAGAAACTGAAGATTTCATTCAAAAACGTTGACATTTTCTTTTAATCACCATGGCAATTGTTTCTTCAGGCTTTCTGTTGAGGTCAGTGACCCCAGTTCATCAAGATTATCCTAAAACTCAGGAAACAAAAGTAAAACGTTAAATATGGTATGATACTGGAAAGTTCCCAGAATTGTATGTGCTTTGATTGTGACATTCAACACAAATGCACCTCCAGCAAACACACATTGGTATCCAGCTGACCAAGTTATTCTGCTAATCATACATTGATTGATTGATTGATCAGTTTTCTATGGATTATCAAACTTTTGCAGGTTATTTAAAGCCAGAAAATATTTTTGGATTGTAAAAAGAAGTTTTTTTCTGAGATAATAATGGTTTAGTGATACAGGTCTTACTAATTAACCAATAGGTGTGAGAAAAGAGGTGGATTCATGCTTTTCTCAAGGGTATTTGTGTGTAAGTAAATATAGTGAACCCAACAGGAACTAGAACTTGGCTCTCCAATTAACAATTTTGAGTCATTATCCATTACACTGCTTGCACATTAAAGCTTACAGTACCTGGTATTCCCAAGTGGTCACCTATCTAGGGCCTAACCAGGCTTAATGTTGCTTAATTTCAGCGATCATATGGCAACTAGTGTTTCAACGTGATGTGACCATAAGCCATTCTGCTACTCAGCTTCATGCTACTTACTCATGTGCAATTATTATGCAAGGTTTTCTAACATTCTGTTGGAATGGCTCTGTGATCTTTACAATAGCTGAGAAATTCAGGAATTTTGCTTGAAACTCATCAAATCTGTTTCACCAAAACTCATGAAATGTCCCATCAGGCTTTTGGTGAACATACTACAAGTTAAACACAGGGGATTTTTTTTTTAATAGACTGGGCATTTCAAGGTCAGTTAAGTGCAAATTCAAAATAAGGAGCATTCAAAATGACCAATCATTAGCAAAATGTCAGAGAATGTGGGAAAAACTTGCAAAATCGTTCATGAAAACAATCAGCTCTCTTACATGAATCGTTTTAATTATGGAATTGACCACAAGAACTTAGTTCAGGAATTTTATGATAATATCTTATATTTTGGGACTATCTTATTAATAAGAGAAGATAATTTATGATTGATTTTCAAAATTAAAATATTACAAACTGATTGTGTTCTTTTGTTAAAATATTTCTTAGTTAACATAAAATTCCTTACAAACAGTAGCTGGAAAAATGTTTCCAGACAGGGCAATGATGAATAAAATATAATATAAAATATTTCATATGTTAATATTTTTTTTCTCTAAGAGAACTATATGAACTTGCAGTATGTAAGTTCATTATCAGCTAGAATAAATTAACTTTTTTTGAAATGCTAAAGTGAACATTTTATGCATCATTATTATTTTCCAATTAAGTGAATATATATTTCTAATCTTTATGTACTTTTCAAGATATTTAATTTATCCCCCCACCCTTTTCAAGTTCTTTAATCTCTCCCTCCCGCCCTTTTCAAGATCTTTATCTCTTCCTCTCCCTCTTTTCAAGATCTTTAATCTCTCCCACCCTCCCTTTTCTCTTTCTGGTAGTAGTGTTTATATTCATATGCCCTGACAGTGTTAAATTCTCCAAACATCTTGTATTTGTTAATTCATCTGTTTTAGTTAAACTCTTTTCCTCTGTTTCTCTAGTCTTCAATGGACCCTGAAAATGTTAAATTCTTTATCCTTTTTTGCCTCAGATTGTCCTAAAGATTTCAACTGGTCTTTAATATAGCAAAGAATTATAGCTAAAAGCCATGTCAACCACAATTGTCTGAATTTTAAGTATTCATTTGTTAATATTCTTATTGTTAGTATTACTTTAAAGCTTTTCTCTTTTTTAAAATATTAACTTTAGTAAATACCATCAAATAATAATAAAAAAAAAAAAAGTTTCAAAAACAATGAGACACTTACATTTATTACACATTAAATTGTGTTATTTTGTGTCCTCCATAGATTGCTTGATTTTTCGGCTAACCTGATGAATGCTTATGAGTGTTCTAAAATTTAAAAATTTTGAAAACCCAATAACATTTTACCCTTGTTTATTAATACTTGTTACAAAATAAAATCATTGCATTTACCTTGATAAAGTCCCTCAGAGGACAAAATGTGTTGGCTAATTTTTCCTTCTGTCATTATTCATGTTATTCTTTTACAAATATACTTTATCTGAAATATATATATATATATATATATATATATATATATATATATATATTCTGTGCTAATAGGAATATATACTTGACAAACATAGTGGATAAAATAAGTAAAGGTTTATTGTAAAAACCAATACAATAAGAATAAAGGTAACAGTTTTACACAAGGTTGTCCCAAGTCAATCCAGTAGTGAGTGCTATTATTGGAAGGTCGATAGTTCTCGCGTAAGTCTTACATAAGAACAATTGGGATCTGTTGAGTATGACACTTTGTATTCAAAAGTGTCTCCAAGTCCTTGTGGCTGACAAATTATTTTCCACCCTCCAACCTCTCCGTCACTGGTGGGATGTGGTAAGTCTCTTACTGCATTATCGTTAATTCCATAGAAAGTGCTTGAATGAACGATACTGCTTGGTTCTTCCAGGTCTAACCTTCATAGCTAGGACCCACCATGCCATTCACATAGTAGCAAACCACCCACATTCCCTCTGTATTCCAT